GTAGGAAATTTACAAAATATCTTCATGGAACATGATCTTTACTTAATATCCTAATGATTTTTGGCATTAAAGAAAAATGGATAATTTTGACCCATACAATGTATTGTTGGCTATTGCTACAAATATACTCCAGCGACTTAAGACTGCTTTTGTGCTGCAGGGTCACGTATATTTCAATTAAATTCATGCTGTGACTGAATTAATTCACCAATCCCTCGAATTCTCATTCTAATGTGCTTAGAATCACACCATTTCTGACATTTTCTCGTTGCTTTCACACACTTTTCTTTTCTTTTCATTCAACTTTTCAGTGTCAACACACTCACCTCAATGAGAGTCAACTGCATAGAAAGTTCATAGAAAAACACGTCTCACCAATGCAGACACATTTAATCATAATTCTAGGCCTTATAATATAATATGCCCATATACTCTGTTTAACACTGCTTTGAATATTAATGGATGTAATAATCGTTCACAAGCTACACGCACAATAAAGAACTGCTTCGTTGTTGAGAAACGATCGAAGACATTTACAAGTTTTGTTTTCTACTAAGGCAAGGCAAGTTTATTTATATAGCACATTTCATACACAATGGTAATTCAAAGTGCTTTACGTGAAAGGAAGTAAAATCACAACAATAAAACAAGGAATTAAAAAACTTTTACAATTATTTAAAATGAATTTACAGTTTTTTTCGATTGCTAAATGACAGTGGGCACAACTGGAGCTACATGTGCAAAACTCTAACTACAGTCTGCACAGCAGCAGTTCATGTGGACCAAACTCTAGTTCGTTTTTCATTGCTTGAACACAGTTTTCAAAACTCTACACACTTATCCCATGACTTTAACCACAACCTGCACAACACTGTGGATTTACAGCACTTTGTTCAAATGCTAACACACTGCTGTCAAAACTGTGAACCACACATTCAAAACAGAATAGATTTCAGCCTTGTGCCTTTCAAACACTGCTGATTGCAATTTCAGCTGAAAGGCTAAGCAGGTGTCTTGTTTTAGACTTGTTAGTGAACACACACACATATATATATATATATATATATATATATATATAGATAGATATAGATATATATATATATAAATACTAAAATAAATAAATAGTCATTATAATTAATCCTAAAATCAGAAAACAATAATAATAATAATATTATGTATGCTTCACTGCTTTAATAATAATAATAATAATAAACCAATAAAAGTATAACTAAACCTAAGATCAGAAAATATTACTATTATTATTTTTTCTGATTAATTATATTTACATTGATGCATTATTATTATTATTATTATTATTAGTCATAAAATCGGAAAACAACAATTATTATTATTTTTTTATTATTATATTATTAAATAATTACTTTTTACTATTATTTTTTATTATTAATAGCAACTAAAGCAATAATAATAATAATTATAGCGTCATTGTTGTTGTCATTAGTATTATTTTTATTATTAAACTAGAAAAACCTAACACAGTAGCACTGGGGCAATTATTAAAACAATGATTGTTGTAATATTAATAATTTTCTATCATTGCATGCCATTCACTTTGTATAATATTGTGAAAAAAGACACAAATATTTGAAATTAGGCAATATCAAAATAAAGTGAACCTGCAGAGCTCTCCTTTCTCATGTTATAAATAATCCACACAGTGGACATTAAGCTGAAACCGCTGTAATGGCATTTCTTGTCGGTGTCAATCCGAGATGTTCAGGTCTCCTGCCACAGTGGCTGGCAGATAAGCAAAATTACCTGCCACTTTGCAAAACATACCACATTGGATGGTGGCAGGTTTTAATTTCATACCCTACATATCATATCTGCAAAATTGGAATAATTTCAAGGACAAAGGTCAGAAGTTAAATGATAACCCTTTTTTGCCAAGTTAACTTTTTTTTTTTATATTAATGCCACAGCGCTTTGATGTTGAAGATCCAACTAAAGAATCTGCTGTTTGCATTAAAACTGCTGCTTTGATGTTGCGAACATTCCAAACACAGCGTGAAAGAGACTAAATGCCAAACATAAGTCTGCGATTACATATGCTTGTCCCTCTGATGTCACTGCGAATCATAGAAATGGTGACCAAATATGTATAAGTTTGTTTGCTCTAATTGCTCTAATGACTGTTAAAGGGTTAGTTCACCCAAAAATGAAAATTAGCCCATAAATTACTTACCCTCAAGTCATCCTAGGTGTATATGACTTTCTTCTTTCAGACGAATCCAGTCGGAGTTATATTAAAAATAGTCTTTGATCTTTCAAGCTGTTTCATGGCAGTCAGCGGGTGTTGCATGCTTCAATCCAAAACAAGTTAAATAAAAAGTGCCCATTTATAAAAATTAAAAAAAAGTGTCTCACACGGCTCCGGGGCCCTGTCCACATCTGCTTCATACCTCCCCAATGTGACATCATCATGATTCTATCCCTGATCATTTCATGACAAGATCTTTTTATCCATGCCCGGCTGTTTGCCAGTCCAGAGCATTTGCTGCCTGTCTCTGATGCTGAATGCATGATATGAAGGCAGGGCTGTGTGTTGAGCATGCTGTTCTTTTTGGAAAAGGCCAAAAAAAAGCTGATGGCAATCTAAGAGGATTGAACCAAAGTCGATGAGTGAGCCACCAGAACAATGAGCCACCTGTTGGCTACGGGACTTGGACTTATGTATATTTCATGACAAGAAGCGACACTGGAGTGTGGCATTGAAGTTTCATTGAAACTTGCTTCTGTACTTCAGGCAAAAGTTTCTACCTTTCAGACTAATAGTAATTATTCACAATGGAGTACAATCTGAATGAACGAGTCCAAACTGACTTCAAGAGGAATAATTGAAACAGAAATGAAAATTCTATTTGTTTTCTCTCTCACGTCATACATAACTTGCACTGTTATGTAAGGAATTTTTTCCATAAGGAAAATGGTAATTTATGGAAAGAGCATAATTATTATTATTTTTTTATTCTTTAATTCTCAGACCAATTACCTGCATTTCCCTGACTGAGCATGAAAAACAAACATTCAGTGTTTTTTTGTTGGTTTGTTTTGTTTTTGTGGCAGAGTGCCACAAAATGGAACACTTCAGATAGCAATAGTTATTATTAATTATATTAATTAAATGTATTAGAAACAAATCTTTAAAATGTAATAATAATAATAACATTATTTTAATATATAATAAAGGTGTGCACATCAAATAAATAAACAAATAAATAAAATAAATACAGCTCTAGAAATGTATTTACCAAACAGTGCAACATTTCAAACAGTCAGATCTTTATCTGGCACAATGATGAAATTAAAATTGATTAAACATTTGTGCCATTTTGCATTCTAAAGACTGGACAGAAATCATTACATTTATCTAGAAGTAAGTAAGTAAGTAAGTAAGTAAGTATGTATGCATGTATGTATTTATTTATTTATTTATTATTTTTAATTTATGTTATTTAATATTTTATTTTAATTTAATTTTATTTATTATTATTATATTATATTATATTATATTATATTATAAAGTTAATAATTTTTTCCCTGATCTCAGAACAGTTACTGTATATCATATCAAAATGAATTTTAATTCAGTTCAAATGTTCATCCAGGCCTGCATTCATTGTCTGTACTTGTTTATGTTTCCGAATAAATTAAGTGAGTGTCATTAACTTTTTTCTGTTCTGTTGATCGTATCCTCTATATTCTCATCTCCTGACCTCTTTTCTGATGGTGAGCTCTAGATTCTCCGAGCAAGCGTCGCGTCCGAGATCATGCAGGTTCTCATGAAGGTTCTCCTTCCTCCGGGGCGTGTAGGGAAGAAAGTCTCCCTCCAAACGCAGGAACACAACGGGCTCCTCACGCAAACAGAAGAAAATCACCTCCTTTTGAGAGCCAACGCATGTAAATCAGGCCAAATAAAGCTTGACTCATAACAAAGTCAGTAATCATGATGGTTATTTAAACTCATTTGCTTGAACTCAACAGAGTTTCATTCAAAGCATCAGTTTAATCAGCACAGCAGGTGTGACAAACACCTTATCAGCAGCATTATTTGCACATCGCTTTCTCTTGATAGAAGCTCAACACAGAGCCGCAGGAGATTTCCACGCACTGACCTGATGGCCTTGACCCTGCAGTCTGTGGAGGACCTGTTTGAAGCCACTCAGGCTGGGCTGGCCCATGCCGTAGAGCGGGAAGCTGCCTTTGCTCTGGCGGAAGTTGGGTGCTCCGTACGAGCCGCTGGTGCTGAGGACGTCCGCTTTGCTGAAAACATCTTGCACCATGAAGTAAGAGCCCTGAGAAGAGCACGATCAGATCATCAGCCGTCTTTACCGCCACTTTAAACACTCAAAAAAGGTATTTTTAAGCAGAATTAATGCTGCTTTTCCTTCCAACTCAATTGTGTCTTCTAATTAAAATGTTTTGCAAAGACATGGAAGCCTGTCTGACACTGACAGAAGTTTCTGACACTGAATAAAAAACAAAAAAAGTATATCATTTTTTCCGCTCACAATTGCGAAGTTATATCTCACAATTCTGGCTTTTTTTCCCTTCGCAATTTTGACTTTTTTTTGGTTTATATCTCAGAGTTTTGACTATTTCTATCAATTCTCAATTTCTTTAGTTTATATCTCAGTTTTGACTATTTCTATCAATTCTGAATTTCTTTAGTTTATATCTCAGTTTTGACTATTTCTATCAATTCTGAATTTCTTTAGTTCATATCTCAGTTTTCACTATTTCTATCAATTCTGAATTTCTTTAGTTCATATCTCAGTTTTCACTATTTCTATCAATTCTGAATTTCTTTAGTTCATATCTCAGTTTTGACTATTTCTATCAATTCTGAATTTCTTTAGTTTATATCTCAGAGTTTTGACTATTTCTATCAACTCTCAATTTCTTTAGTTTATATCTCAGTTTTCACTATTTCTATCAATTCTGAATTTCTTTAGTTCATGTCTCCGTTTTCACTATTTCTATCAATTCTGAATTTCTTTAGTTTATATCTCAGTTTTGACTATTTCTATCAATTCTGAATTTCTTTAATCAATTCTTTAGTTCATATCTCCGTTTTCACTATTTCTATCAATTCTGAATTTCTTTAGTTTATATCTCAGTTTTGACTATTTCTATCAATTCTGAATTTCTTTAATCAATTCTTTAGTTCATATCTCCGTTTTCACTATTTCTATCAATTCTGAATTTCTTTAGTTTATATCTCAGTTTTGACTATTTCTATCAATTCTGAATTTCTTTAATCAATTCTTTAGTTCATATCTCCGTTTTCACTATTTCTATCAATTCTGAATTTCTTTAGTTTATATCTCAGTTTTGACTATTTCTATCAATTCTGAATTTCTTTAATCAATTCTTTAGTTCATATCTCCGTTTTCACTATTTCTATCAATTCTGAATTTCTTTAGTTTATATCTCAGTTTTGACTATTTCTATCAATTCTGAATTTCTTTAATCAATTCTTTAGTTCATATCTCCGTTTTCACTATTTCTATCAATTCTGAATTTCTTTAGTTTATATCTCAGTTTTGACTATTTCTATCAATTCTGAATTTCTTTAATCAATTCTTTAGTTCATATCTCCGTTTTCACTATTTCTATCAATTCTGAATTTCTTTAGTTTATATCTCAGTTTTGACTATTTCTATCAATTCTGAATTTCTTTAATCAATTCTTTAGTTCATATCTCCGTTTTCACTATTTCTATCAATTCTGAATTTCTTTAGTTTATATCTCAGTTTTGACTATTTCTATCAATTCTGAATTTCTTTAATCAATTCTTTAGTTCATATCTCCGTTTTCACTATTTCTATCAATTCTGAATTTCTTTAGTTTATATCTCAGTTTTGACTATTTCTATCAATTCTGAATTTCTTTAATCAATTCTTTAGTTCATATCTCCGTTTTCACTATTTCTATCAATTCTGAATTTCTTTAGTTTATATCTCAGTTTTGACTATTTCTATCAATTCTGAATTTCTTTAATCAATTCTTTAGTTCATATCTCCGTTTTCACTATTTCTATCAATTCTGAATTTCTTTAGTTTATATCTCAGTTTTGACTATTTCTATCAATTCTGAATTTCTTTAATCAATTCTTTAGTTCATATCTCCGTTTTCACTATTTCTATCAATTCTGAATTTCTTTAGTTTATATCTCAGTTTTGACTATTTCTATCAATTCTGAATTTCTTTAATCAATTCTTTAGTTCATATCTCCGTTTTCACTATTTCTATCAATTCTGAATTTCTTTAGTTTATATCTCAGTTTTGACTATTTCTATCAATTCTGAATTTCTTTAATCAATTCTTTAGTTCATATCTCCGTTTTCACTATTTCTATCAATTCTGAATTTCTTTAGTTTATATCTCAGTTTTGACTATTTCTATCAATTCTGAATTTCTTTAATCAATTCTTTAGTTCATATCTCCGTTTTCACTATTTCTATCAATTCTGAATTTCTTTAGTTTATATCTCAGTTTTGACTATTTCTATCAATTCTGAATTTCTTTAATCAATTCTTTAGTTCATATCTCCGTTTTCACTATTTCTATCAATTCTGAATTTCTTTAGTTTATATCTCAGTTTTGACTATTTCTATCAATTCTGAATTTCTTTAATCAATTCTTTAGTTCATATCTCCGTTTTCACTATTTCTATCAATTCTGAATTTCTTTAGTTTATATCTCAGTTTTGACTATTTCTATCAATTCTGAATTTCTTTAATCAATTCTTTAGTTCATATCTCCGTTTTCACTATTTCTATCAATTCTGAATTTCTTTAGTTTATATCTCAGTTTTGACTATTTCTATCAATTCTGAATTTCTTTAATCAATTCTTTAGTTCATATCTCCGTTTTCACTATTTCTATCAATTCTGAATTTCTTTAGTTTATATCTCAGTTTTGACTATTTCTATCAATTCTGAATTTCTTTAATCAATTCTTTAGTTCATATCTCCGTTTTCACTATTTCTATCAATTCTGAATTTCTTTAGTTTATATCTCAGTTTTGACTATTTCTATCAATTCTGAATTTCTTTAATCAATTCTTTAGTTCATATCTCCGTTTTCACTATTTCTATCAATTCTGAATTTCTTTAGTTTATATCTCAGTTTTGACTATTTCTATCAATTCTCAATTTCTTTAGTTTATATCTCAGAGTTCACTATTTCTCACAATTCTGAATTTCTTTAGTTTATATCTCAGTTTTCACTATTTCTATTAATTCTCAATTTCTTTAGTTCATATCTCAGTTTTCACTATTTCTATCAATTCTGAATTTCTTTAGTTTATATCTTCACAGTTTTTACTTTTTTTTTTTTATATATATCTCACGAGACTTTTTTCTCGCAAATGTGAGTTTATGTCGCAATTCTGATTTTTGTTTTGTTTAAATTTCAATTCTGGCTTTCTTTAGTTTATATCTCACAGTTTTTAGTTTTTCTCACAATTCTGACTTTTTTCCCACAAATGCAAATTTATATGTCGCAATTCAGATTTTTTTAATATCTCAATTCTGGATTTTTTTTTTGTTTATGTATCAGAGTTTTTTCTTTCTCTACCAATTCTGACATTTTTTTGTTTTTATCTCATAATTCTGTTTTTTTTTTTAGTTTACACCTCACAATACTAACTTCTTTTCTCAGAATTATGAGATATAAACTCACAACTGTGAGTTATAAAGTCCAATTCTGAGGAAAAAATAATCTACATTTATGCATTTGGCAGATGCTTTTATCCAAAGCAGTTTCCATTGCATTCAAGCTAAAAAAAAATTCTGTAGGAATCAAATCCATGCAGCAGATAAAATAACACATCAAACAGAAATTATGCACAAAACTAGCTTTAACTGTTGGATTTGCTGCTATTTTGGGTCTTTTTATATGAGTTTATTATTTATTTTTATTTCATTTGCCTATAAATATCTAAATGTATACACTGTGGTAGCATTTGTTATACTGCTTTTTAATTTATTTAATAAAAAAAAAAACTTAAAATTAAAATGTTCACGTTTTAAAGTCAGTGTTAATTTAGTATTTTTAGTTTTTATTCATAATTTTAATTAGTTTTGTTTAATAATCTCCATTTTCGTTTTATTTTTTGATTGAAGTTTTAGCACTGAAATAAAAAAATATTGTATTAAACCTAAACAGTAATGTAAAAAATAAATCAAAAGCGGTCATTGTCAAAATGTTCAGATTTATTACGGTCAGTATTTTTTTTTTAATTCATAATTTAAATTACTTTTTATTTTTAGAATCTCTGCTTTCATTTTCATTTTTGGTTAATTTTAGCATTAAAAAAAATACAATTTAATTAAACCAAAACAGTGATATAAAAAAATTTTTTTTTTAAAAAGCTAAAAAAAAAATAAAAAAATTAAACAAAATAAAATAAAATAGTGCATAAGTAATACTAAAGTAGCACTGATGACGCCACAAAAGGCAAGAGGAAGAAGCTTTCATAACAAGGGTACAATAAAGATTTTTACAGTTGGAAAATTTTAATTATGAAAATTCTGACATGCCATTCATGTAGCATTAACCCCAGCTTTTATAAAATTATCTGCTAAACGCCTAATCACTACTTTATGATGTAGAAAACTTGAGCATTCAACTCCAGAAGATCATCAAATAACGCGATGTTCTGGAAAGGCACCGGAACAATGGCGAGTGTTTGACAAGCGGCCACTCTGTGTTATCTGTTGACTTGCAGCGAAACTCATCATTGGCTCGTCAGCAAACAGAAACTAACGAGCAAACAAAGGGAACGAGTGGCCAGCGGGAGGCGAGGAGCTTCAAAGCCTTCAGAGAAAGGTGCAAACGTCCTGCGAAGACTAAAGAGCGCAGAGCAGCGGGTCGGTAATTAATGAACACACTCGCTGCGCTCTGTTTGTGAAGAGACAGAGACGCGCCGGGACACATTCACGAGCCGCGGCTCTGTCCTCCCATTTAGACACAAATACACTGGAATCCACTGTGACTTATGAAGCAAATGTGACCCTGCAGCACAAAAGCAGTCATAAGTCGCTGGGGTATATTTGTAGCAATAGCCAACAATACATTGTATGGGTCAAAATTATACATTTTTCTTTTATGCCAAAAATCATAAGCAAATATGCATTGCTAAGAACTTCATTTGAACAACTTTAAAGATGATTTTCTCAATATTTTGATTTTTTTGCACCCTCAGATTCCAGATCTTCAAATAGCTGTATCTCAGCCAAATATTGACCTATCCTAACAAACCATACATCAATGGGAAGCTTATTTATTCAGCTTTCAGATGATGTATACATCTCAATTTCGAAAAATTGACCCTTATGACTGGTTTTGTGCTCCAGGGTCACAAATGAGGTTAGATCTGACATTAACCATGTTATATATCAAAACATAATGATTATCATATTCATGTACCATGGTATTTACTGCATAAATAAACAGAGCTTGCACACTGTTGTAGCTTACAAAAACAAAAATTTTATATGGCATTTAATATGGTGCTATGGTACGGTATGACATTTACTGATTACTATTTACTATGTTAGTGTACGTACTGCACTTTTGTACTTTTTGGTACCAAAAAATTCATCATAGTATTTAAGCAAATTTTTCTGATTCTCATTACTGTACTGCAAAATACAATAAAATAAAATAAATAATCCCACCCCATTAATGTAAGGTTATTATTAATTATTTTATCATTTATTTTTATTTCATTTGACTACAAATATCTGGATTTATACATTGTGGCAGCATTTGCTATACTCTCATAAATTTTTCAATTTATTCATTTAATTTAAAAAAGCTAATTCAAAATGAACATTCTCATATCTCACAGTCAGTGTTATTTTAGTTTTTTTTCCAATTAGTTTTTATTTTTATATGTTCGGCTTCATTTTAATAAAATTTTTTGGTTGAAGTTTTAGTACTTTTGCTTTGTGGTTTGTCTTTTTTATTTTTTTTTTTAGTTAGTGATTATTTTATTTTAAGTAACAGTAATGAGAATTTGAATGGAAATTGTGCTTAATTGTCATGAAAAAAATAAAATAACAAATAACTAAAAACTAAATCTAAATAACTAACTATAAATCTAAAAATACACTTAAGGTTCTGCAAAAATGCACCCTGTTTTCCTGAGATTCGCCCACAGTGCATGAGAGCAAGAGTCCGGCTCACCTGGACCAGATGGTGCTCAGGCATATTATCTGAGATCCTCCCAACTTTATAGTTTGTGCGGAGAACATCATCGTGGATCTGAAACTCCTGTCTGCAGTTATACCTACAAACACACACACAGAGACTCAATCAGGCGAATGATCTGTGACTGCAGGCGCTCTCAGAACAGAGCCAGACGGCCAGACGTACGTGATGACCACAGGAGCCACTTTATTAGTGATGATGGACTTGGCCTTGTTGCTGTGGATGTTGAGTGTCTGGAAGGAGGCGCTGCTTGTCGACCGCCTGCTGTCCATCATCCCGTTGCCGTGGAAACTCTCATGCAGCATGGGCTGGGGAGCAGCGCTGGCAGTCGTACCCATACTCCTCTAGCAGCTGTCAATCAAACACAAACACACACATTACACACCATCAGACTCAAACTAAAGTAGTGCCGATTAAAAGTTTTTGTTCACATAATATATGTGTGTGTACTGTGTATATTTATTATGTATATATAAATACACACACATGCATGTATATATTTAAGAAAAATGTGTTATGTTTATATTAATTACATTTATATATCATATAAATTATATGGATTTAAATATTTTCAAAATATATAGCATGTGTTTTTGTTTATATATAGCCTACATAATAAATATACACAGTACACACACATATATTATGTAAACAAAAACTTTAATTTAGGATGCAATTAATCACGATTAATCTTTTGACAGCACTAAACTAAAGACAGAACATCACAAGAATCGTCTTCCCATTTCAGATTCAACAGATTCTGATCATGCAAATCTGATTAGTTAGTAGCAATCAGGGTTTTTTGGACATGGTAGCATAGTCTACTAGTAGCAAACTTTGTTGCATTATAGCCTCAAGAGCAAAATCTCTTCTTCCAAACATCCCTGAAACCGTTTCAAATATAGAACTTTATGTATAGACTACAGAGAGCAAGTTAATGTGGTTCAACTTGACTATTTCAGCGTTTTTTTTTTTTTTAGCACTCCGGCACTTAGATATCCAATGCAATTGGTTTGAGAGGGAAACAAGCTACATTTCTAGTTTCAACATTATTTATTCTTTAGACATTTCACTTTAAATACAATAAATGTCAGCTATATACAAAGTGTCCCACATTTGGTTTCTGACCGCTGAAAATGTGTACCATTTACACCTGGAGCCATATTGAGATTCCAGTATCTCTGGAGCTGAACCATATAGAGCCTTAAAAATTATGATACTAAAAGACAAGTTGGTTAAGAACTAAACTCTTAAAGAGTATTAATATAGCTTTAAAACTTCTCGAGTTACATGCATGCAAACTTTGGGGGAAAAAGTTTGAAAAGTATTTTTTTCCTGTTTTTGAGCGTCACCTTTGGCATCCAATGCAACAAAGATTGCTAAAGTCAACAGATTTTACTAATAGAGCTACTGATCTCTGTGTAAAAATAATATAATACTGCTGCCTGCTTTCTAAAGTCTTTTTTAGCCCCTGTAATTTGCACAACTTAATGTTTTCAACATTGATAATAATCAGAAATGTTTCTTGAGCAGCAAATCAGCATATTAGAATGATTTCTGAAGATCATGTGACACTGAAGACTGGAGTATTTATGATGAAAATTCAGCTTTGATCACAGAAATAAATGTAATTTTAACAGGTATTCACATAGAAAACAGCTGTTTGAAATTGTAATAATATTTCACAATTTTTACTGTATTTTTGATCAAATAAATGTAGTCTTGGTGAACATAAGAGACTTCTTTCAAAAACATTAAATATATCAAATCCGCCAACTGGATAAGAAAAATACACTTAATTCAAAGGAAAAACTAGTTTATTTTTCCAACTCCACTAGCAAATTTTTTTTCTTGTTTTAAACATGAGCTCACCTAACCTTGATCAACTGCTCAGAAATAAAGGTCATTTTGCATCTCAATTAAATGCATCCTGATTTAAGAGTGTTTAGATATTTGTACTGGGAAACAGTGTACTACTAACAAACAAAAAAAAGTATCAAAAGTTCATTACTTGCACTGCATGCACACAGTAAAACAAAAACGAGTCTTGAAGCTCAGCGCACACACACACACACACGGACACACAAACACACACAGACACACAAACACACACAAATACACAAACACACAAACACACACTCACACATTCACACACTCACACACATGCACACACACACGCACACATCTGTCGTGTCCTTCTGGAGCCTCAGCTGCAGCAGATGTGAAGCTCCGACTCATTTGGGGTCCATAAAGAGCCCTGTTTTCTATCCCGAGCTCACGAGTGATTCCCGCAGCCTCTTTCTTCAGAACAGGACATATGCCATGCTGAATAATCTCAGTCTGCAGAGTGGCTTGTTTTTCATGCTCGCCGGATGAAGCTCTTATGTAAGTGGGGCAAATTTAAGGTGACATCTTCAGAGAGCCTGCAGAAGTGCGCCCTAGATGAACGTCTGGCCTGAAAACCCACCCACGGGCCACCAGACGATCGCTCACAAACATCCTCTCTGAAAAACAAGCCGTCACGACCCCATCTCTCTGTTTACACGGCCACCGCAGGCACGCTACTCGCCTTAACTTTTACAGGTGTTTACTTCCAGTTCTGCAGGAGAAAGCAGGGGTTGCATGTCATCTTCAAGGACACGCTGGTGTTTTTGAGCGTTTTAGTCACTTTTCAGTATCTGGGTCAACGTGACCTGGAAACAAACCTGCAATTATTGTCTTCCACTGCTTCATTTCTAGTGCTTGAAACATTTCAAAGCAGCATGAGCTCATCAGCTGAGTGTGAGAGGAGAAGAAAAAAATTAGTTTGAGCCTAAGACGTCAATATTAACATGAAGTGTGTAAAAAATAAATATAAAAATATATAAATATAATAAAATTATATAAATATAAAAAAATTTATTAAATTTAAAAATAATAAGATTAAATGCAAATACAAAAATACAATAAAAATAAAAAACAATATAGGATAAAAAAATAAAAATAGGATAAAAAATTAAATACATAAAATTTAAAAAGATAAAAAAACAAAATTAAATTAAAAAGAATAAATTAAATACAAATAAAAAAAAAATAAAATAGGATAAA